CACTGGCAGCCATACATGCCCACGCCATGACACTGCAGCGCCATGCTTCACTGATGAGGTGATATGCTTAGGATCATGAGCACTTCCTTTCCTTCTCCTTACTCTTCTCTTCCCATCACTCTGGTACGTTGATCTTGGTCTCGTCTGTCCATAGGATGTTGTTCCAGAACTGTGACGGCTTTTTTAGATGTCGTTTGGCAAACTCTAATCTGGCCTTCCTGTTTTTGGGGCTCACCAGGTTTACATCTTGTGGTGAACCCTCTGTATTCACACTGGTGGAGTCTTCTCTTGATTGTTGACTTTGACACACATACACCAACCTCCTGGAGAGTGTTCTTGATCTGGCCAACTGTTGTGAAGGGTGTTTTCTTCACCAGGGAAAGGATTCTTCGGTCATCCACCACAGTTTTCCGTGGTCTTCTGAGTCTTTTGGTGTTGCTGAGCTCACCGGTGCGTTCCTTCTTTTTGAAAATGTTCCAAACAGTTGTTTTGGCCATGCTTGATGTTTTTGCTATCTCTCTGATGGGTTTGTTTTGTTTTCTCAGCCTAATGATGGCTTGCTTCACTGATAGTGATAGCTCTTTGGATCTCATCTTAGCAGTTGACAGCAACAGGTTCCAAATGCAAACAGCACACTTGAAATTAACTCTGGACCTTTTTTCTGTTCATTGTAATTGGGGTAATGAGGGAATAACACACACTGGCCATAGAACAGCTGAGAAGCCAATTGTCCCATTACTTCTGGTCCCTTAAGAAGTGGAAGGCGCATTTGCAAACTGTTGTAATTGTCACTGTCCACCGTTCACCTGATTTGGATGTAAATACCCTCAAATAAAAGCTGGCAGTCTGCAGTTAAAGCAAATCCCGTCCGTTTCATTTGGAATCCATTGTGGTGGTGTATGGAGCCAAAAATGTTAGAATTGTGTCAATGTCCCAATATTTAGGGACCTGACTGTATATGAAGACTGATTAAAGCTCTGTGTTGCTAGGTGACTAGGAAGCTGGGAGTTCCCGCTCTGAAGCAGGCGATGGAGTGGTTTGGTTTCCACGGTGGCTCCTGTCGATCACCTCTTCAGCCGCTCACAGAGGCCGAGAGTCAGCAACTGAGGCGGGACTTCTCCTCCAATGGGTGGCTGTAAAGTGACCTTGGCGGAGCGAGAGTGCATGTGTGAGCGAGGTCACTATGTGTGGACCTATTAGCTGATGGTGTAATTATATCATGAAGGGAAAACACAGCTGCACATGAAAATAAATAAATAAATAAATATTCAGTTCTTTCCACTGTTGATATTTATTGAGCCAAATCCAAAAACCTGCAAAAAACTCCCCCAAAACATTAAAATAAATGTGTAAATAAATTAACCCAACTTCGAAGTTCTACTTGGTTTTTGTTCTTCTTTTTCTTTGACTTGGACTGACAGAAATTTTCTTGGCCAATTCCAATTTTTCTCCAAGTGCTCTGCGACCAGTACTGCGACTGATTAACTGAAAACGAGTTGCTTTACACCCGCGTGTCCCTGACATATTTTAACTTTCCACGTAATAACAGGTGCAGAATATATTGTATAACAAAACAATTTCTTTATTATTTCGACTATTTTGGGCCATTACTAATACTGAGGCTGCTAGCTTCTGGCTGATACTGAGCTTTGTTAGCTTCTCTAAAATGTTCAACTGGCTGAGGTTGATTTAAGTGTCTGCTTAGGTTTGTTGTAACAAACATTGTCATGGTGGTCCCCCCGTGGTTTACTTTGCCAGACTTTGTGTACATATATATGTACACAATGTTATATAGTCTTTAAATCTACACCATAAAACATGTAGCAGCTGACATTACAGGTAATGGATCAAGCCAACAGAAGCCAATCAGACTCAGGAAGAAAAGTGCCTCTGGCAGTGAAAGCCACCACTTTAAGGTGTTTATACATTAAAACACTACAAGTGTGACAATGTACACAAACCAGAATAAGAAGCCAGTGACAGGCAATTAGCTGCTGATCTTTCCTGTTGTTTTTATCATGTGATCAGTTATTTATTTTCATATTTTGTTCCACTAAAGCAAAAGGACAAGTGGACATAATAAGAGATTCCAAACTAGGGACACTTTTTATCAAGTGCTTCTTAACCTCAGCCTTACACAGGGAAAAATAATACCCTCATATTTTAGCCTGTAACTGTTATTTTTCTTCTTTCAAGGAGGTTTTGTGATTACTCTGATTTGTTTTTTGTTGTTGCACAAAAAATATTTCCATGAAAATCCTGCCAGGGGTCGCTCGATGCAACTTATGGATCCAGTTTTGAATTCAGGAATTCCGTTAAACTCCCTTCAAATCTTTATGTATTAAATTGAAATAGGAAATATGTTAGCCATTGTCTTAATGTTCCCAAGATACCGATAACTAACCTGGATTGGTTCATAGCGAGGAGTGGCTTTTCAGCCTAGTGTAAAAAGTAGATTTATGTATAATTGGCGTGTAATGCATTTGGCAGATCATGACCTGTTTGACTTAAGCTTTGAAATGTGGGACTTGAACCTGGAACTCTTTAGTCAGGACTCATGTGTAACTTAGGAAACAATTACTTTGTCTAATTGTTAGTGGATGTGTAAAAATACAGAATTTGTAGACTCACAGCAGTAGACAGTAAATGGAAATCACCCGACAGTGGAGTAAATATGAGTTATTTAAGAAATACGGTGGTCTCACAGCGCATGAATTTTATACTTTGGACATTTGCACCTACTGCAATGGCAGAAAGTCATTTGTATGCATCAGCCTCATTAATTTAAGATGCCCTGTAACCTAAAGGTAATTGTCATGTAATTACAGCACAGCTTTGGCGTGCTTTGACCTCAGGAGATGTCTTATTATTCAGAATACCTTAGTAGAGCTATTGTATGGAAACTAAAAGTACAGCCAGGCCACTTGTAACCTCAGGCTGAATAACACTGAAGCCTCCCAAGGTCTTTGAAAAATAAAAAATTTGGAACAGAAAAACTATCACATCATTTTGCTCTTATTTAAATCAGTCATGTATGTTCAGCGTGTGTGTGTGTGTATAAAATATCTCACTGGGGAATGATGCCCATACTGTTTTTTCACTCATTTCCTGTGCTGATATTTATCTAATATTAGAAAAAACAAACCGGCGTTCTAGAGCAAATGTGCCCCGTGCCCTTCCTTGGCCAGACAGCACTGAATGATGCGTTCCTGCATGTCTGAGATTCGGTCTGGCCACCAAAAAGCCAAAGAAAAGTTCCTCATCTCAAATATAGATTTGATAAATGTTTTCAGAAAGACCTGAGATCAGCTCGAGTTCAGTGGGAGGCAGAGCTGCAGGTCATGGTCACAGTTTGCTGCAGAATACCAGAGCGCTCTTTGATGTGAAAAAGTTAAAAACCATAATTACTGTAATTAAAGCCGTGTAGCAGGTAGCCATGGCAATGAGAGCCTTTGGCTTTTTCACATAGCACTTTTTTTGCTTTTATCTTACCATGAGTCCAATTAGCACCTTTCTTAGCAGGAGATATTTTCAGAAATACTTACAGGATCATAAAAAAAGGAGGATATGTTGTGTTTTCTTCTGTTCCTGTGCGACAAGGACACAGTACAGATGGAAAGCTCTGAGTATAAACAGTTTTGATTAAATCACCTGCCACTCAGTTTTAAGGACATCTGTCTTACAAGCACAGTTGTAGTTTATAAGTAATGTTTAACCCTTGGTCTGAAAATCTTCACTGTTTGAGAAACTTTGAAATTGTTTTTTTGAAAATACACTGCTTCACCGTGACAGACCTTTGTTACTGTGATTATTTGATTTGTCAAATATTGGAAGCATTCAGAGCTATTGAAGACACCGAGTCCTTTATTTGGGAGAATGTCTCCGCATAATGACATGTGACATTTTTTTGTGTAATAAGAGAATGTTCAGCGACTACGTGTGCCTTGTCTGTAAGACTGCAGAAAGTAATTTCCTTTAGAGTACATGGCCTTATAACAAATTCTTTCTTTGTGGCAGGAGTGAAAGATAAAAATCCAGATTTTGTGAATAAAAGTGTACTTTAGTGTCACCTTGGTTTTCAGAGGCCTGCTTTCTTTGCTGCAATACACGCTTTTTTGTGTCAATTTTACATTCAATTATAAGACCTTTAGTCACTTTTTTAAACAAAGTATTCAAGGACTTGTGTAAAAAGTGAGTTACTGAGTGCAGCGTCTGTAAAAAGTCACTGTGATTTGAAGCTGCGAGGGATAGTTGGCCTCTGCTTAAACTTTTCCTCACCTGCTTGTCTGATCCGGAGGATGAAGGGGAAATATAATATAAGCCAGTGCAACTACATACTTTTGGAGACAAAGCTTCTGCAATCTGATACCCAGACATGCATCCCCCACCCTTGATATTGCTCTGCTAGGTACCAAGATAAGTGCAGTTTTATATGAGGTCACATTTCCTTGAAAAACAAGTTTATAAGTTTATCTCTTCTGTCTTCGGTACATGGTCCATGAAGACAGAAGAGGAGTTTGATATATAATACAAAGAACCCCAAGTTTCTCCCAATGACAAGCCAGCACCTTGCCATACATATGAGGGTGTATGAGTTTTTGTGAGTCAGTGGGTGAATAACAAACACACTATAAAACTCTTTAAGAACTGCCAAAGTTTAAAGAAATGATTTCCTCAGTAGGTGCACATCATTTCCCCTTCACCAGAGACAGCGCTGCAATCAAAGCCCAGCATTATCACAGTAACAGGAAATAAGTTATCCTTTTAAAAGTGTCACGATGATAACGATAACTGATATTTTGAAATGAATAAAGATGGAGCAAAGCTACAGCGTCAGTAGCGATAATATTATGCAACTGTTCTTTTTTGTGTGCTTCTTTTTGCAGCCATGTATTTTGACTCTAATTACCCAAAACCAACACACACACACAATTATGAATTTGACTAATACTGTCATTGCTTTTGTTTTTCTCTCATTTTCTTTTTGCGAAGTAAAAATCAGATGTTATATCACGTGAATACTAATTAATTAGCACTCATATCCAGAAACTGTGCTTAAATGATTAATAACCATAATAGATGGTATTAGAGAAAATAACATGGGAATACACTGTTAGTGCAAGTTTTACAAATGTGCTGTCAACATGTTGCGCTGTGCCAATTACTAAGTGTTTCCTTATTAGTTTATCGCAGCTTTTAAGCTGAACTCTGCCGCCCAGTGCTGCAGTCAAAGTTGACGAGAGCACAGCGGAGCCTGAACCGCGCTCCACAGAAACAACAGTGTGAGCTAAAAGAGGCAAAAATGTCAGCAGAGCTACAGAGTTGATAATAATCTTTTGTTTTTGCTACTATGAGTGACCTCTTTTCATCCAGCTAATGGAACCAGTCTGAAACACAAAAATCGCAGTAATAATAATAATAATAATAATACAGTAGTTAGTGGGGCTTTTACATGGTAAGTTAACAGTGGCCTTCTATAAAATAAGGTCTATTCAAAACACAAGTCAACAGTTTTTTTGTGTGTTTTTTTAAGTTCATGAAAGCGATTTAAGGCTCTGATCCTGCAGAGTTTGAAAACCATTCAACTAATGAGTTCATATTAATAAACCTGCTCAAGGATTTCTGATAATATGAGGTTTCTTCTTTTTATTTCATCTGTGTTTAACCTCTTTCCAAGGGCGGTCTTGTTACTGAAGATTTTTGCCAAAGAACTAAATAACGGAAAATCTTCAATAGGATCCTTAAATACTTATTCCTGTACCTTTCAGTCCTTTCAGACACCAGAGGAAAAGTGTCCTAATGTTTGATCAGCTGTGTTCTTAACTGTTGACCCCTGAGGTCTGAAGCCTCGGTGTAATTTAAGCATTCACGCCAACATTTTGAAGTGTTGTCTTCACTTATTTCAAAAACCTTTTGGTAATTGGTTTCCTTTATCATTCTGTGAGGTGCAGTGGCTCTAAGTGACCACATGGAGGCGACACGCCCCACCGCTGCTTCTGCACTGTCAAGGGCATCCCTTTGATATGGTTCGGGTGATGTCTGTGCTCCCGGTGGGCAAACAGTAGGAGGGGGGACTGGCCTCTATCTCGCTCCTGCTCCTGGGGTGAGCAAGTGGCGAGTCAGCAAAAGAGGCACAGCATCACCCGGAGGAGCGTGACGATGACACGGCGAGGTCATCGCAACGAAATCTCCCAACAAATACGCTCCCTCTCCCCCCGCTGCCTTCTCTGTACATCATCATCCCTCCACACCTGACGATCTGTCATCTGTCTCCCCCTC